CGACGTATGCCTGTAGTTTCAAGAATTTTATTTCCAAGAAAGAAACGTCTGCCTTTCTTATGGTCTTTGTCCCGGAATTTGATAAAAAGGTTCAGCTCTCCTACTCGGTTAAGTGTTTCTACCATCTTAGGAATTTTGTTTGATGAGAGCGATTTATGGTTTTCCTTAGACGTTGGATTAACAGAAGAGGAAGTGGTACTCGCGAAGACGATAGCGGAATGTCCCGAAAGCGAGCACACCGTGCAAAAGGCAGCGCTTGTTTTGCGTTTGAGAGAAGGCATAGGCTCCTTGGCTAGAATCCTCAAGACGATCGAGAATTTCAAGGGTACGGTGACCCACGTTGAGACACGACCATCGAAGAAGGAAGGACTCCAATTCGATGTTCTCGTAAAGATCGACATGACCAGGCAGTGTTTGCTGCAATTAATCAGGAACCTTCGTCAGAGTTCCGCGTTAGACGGCGTTACTCTGCTCGGGGACAATTCTGTCAGCATCAAAGATCCCTGGTTCCCGAGACACGCGTCCGAGCTCGACAACTGCAATCACTTGATGACCAAATACGAACCTGATCTTGACATGAACCATCCTGGATTCGCTGACAAGGAGTATCGTGCTCGCAGGAAGGTCATTGCGGAGATCGCTTTCGCGTACAAGTATGGTGACCCTATACCTAACATTCCTTATACCGAAACGGAGAACGAGACCTGGTCGCGTGTGTTCAACACGATCGTCGACCTGGTACCGAAACACGCTTGCGTGGAATATCGAAGAACCTTCAGGAAGCTGCAAGAAGAAAAGATCTTCGAATCGCATCGCATACCTCAGCTGCAGGAAGTCAGCGAATTCTTGAAGAAGAACACTGGATTTACTTTGAGACCTGCGGCTGGATTGCTCACGGCCAGGGACTTTTTATCCAGCCTTGCATTCAGGGTCTTCCAGAGCACTCAATACATTCGTCATATCAAGACTCCTTACCACACCCCGGAACCGTAAGTGTCTCTTTTCAGGATTTTTACACGTATTATATCTTGCCGAATTTGTATCGTCAATTTTTTGAAGCATTTTAAGGCACGAGTTTGTTTGTACGTTCGTCTCGTTGTACTTTTTCTCCTTGCCTTATTCTCAATTTTGGTTTTCGCATTTTTAAGTTTACACGAGGAAGATTTTTTTCGTACGAAAGTACGCGAGAGCAATCGATACTGCGTTATGACGAGAGCGACATCCTGTTACACAGGGAACGATGATAATAGAATTACCGTACCTCTCTAAGCTCGTAATGGAGCTCTAATTGGCTTTTAACGACACGATGGCGTTGATAATTTAGTTTCACTGTTGCGAACTTGTTTCTCCACTGAAACGGTTCCCCCGTTCGTTATAATTTTCGATTTCCGTCCAAGTATATCGTGTGCATTGTCGCAAGAGAAATTTCAATCGACCACATCTCATTCCGTCCGTTCGACCATTCTTCCCTAAATCTTTGCACAAATTTCAAAAATATTCTTTCCTCTCGTCCGTGTCATTATTTTCATCCTCGTGGCGCATTTTCCATAATTGTAATATCGTGGAGTTCGTGTAACGTTCATGGACACCTCTCGTAGATACATCGACTCTACTTGAACGTGAAATTTTAAATAATGAGATTATGCATCGTAATTAGTCGAGAGATGAAAGCCTATCCTCCATTTAGTTGCGCGAGAACTTTCACCGCCGTACTTTGTCCTCGTTCTCTTACTCGCTCATCGGTACTCGGTTAATTACCTTCGACACGAATAAGCGAAATGAAAGCAATAACGTCACCGATATCGTCAAGACGTCTAATTGGAACGATTTTGTTAATTCTCTTTTACTTTGCAGAGATTGCATCCACGAGCTTTTGGGTCATATGCCGTTGCTAGCCGATCCAAGCTTCGCTCAATTCTCTCAAGAAATCGGACTTGCCTCGCTCGGAGCCTCCGACGAAGAAATCGAAAAATTATCCACGATTTACTGGTTCACCGTTGAATTTGGTCTTTGCAAGGAAGGTTCCGAGGTGAAAGCTTATGGCGCTGGTCTTCTGTCTGCTTATGGAGAACTTCTTCACGCATTGAGCGACAAATGCGAGCACAGATCCTTCGATCCTAAGACCACCGCCGTTCAGAAGTATCAAGATCAAGAATATCAACCGATCTATTACGTGGCGGAAAGCTTCGAGGACGCCAAAGAGAAATTCCGTCGTTGGGTAAGTGTCGATCGATGCTAGAGACTTGAACGCGTGGTAGTAATAGCAGCTATATATTGTATATATATATGTGTGTATTGAGGGTGTTGGTTTCATGCTCAGTGTCGTAAATGGTATTACTATTTTTACTGATTAAATATAAATTCTTTCGCAGGCGACTTTCGTCGAGCCTCGATTGAAACTTGGATTTGACGTTATAAATTAAAGAAACAATTTTCTATCACGGTGATTCACGAACTATGATCTTTGATATTTTCGTTTTAGGTGTCCACCATGAGCCGACCCTTCGAGGTGAGGTACGATCCGCACACGCAACGCGTCGAAGTGTTGGACAGCGTGGATAGGTTGGAAAATATGGTGTCTCAGCTGAACACGGAAATGACTCATCTCACAAACGCTATCAACAAGCTGAAGAAATCCTTCGCGTAAAGACGAAGGGGTCTATGCCCGTGTAACAGGATACGATTATTTCGCGGATCATCGAGCTTCTCTCAATCTTTCACTGTCTGTTTTTTTCTTTTTTTTTTTTCTTTTTGGAAAAAGTCGCAGCTTTTCAGCCAGTTCGAAATTTGCTCGTTTAAGTTGCGAATCCTATTCTCGTTGTTGAGAATCGTTTCCAGCGGAATGTACATAGAAGTGTCGTAATTTCTCTTTGTCTTTTTTCTTTTCGTTTCTATTGGAAGGACGTCGAGATCTCATTGACCTGGTGGTCTACGTCACGTCATTCGCATCATTGTTCGTCGTTCGCATTAAATCGTTCTCACTCTATGTATAAAGTCGTCCATCCGCGTAGTTGAATACACGTGCGCGTATCCAGGTCGTTCGAAGCGTGGAGTCGGTATTTATGCACTCGTCGAACAAACGGATCACTCGTGTCCTACGTAACGCGAGTGTTCGATAATCTTGTCGCGCTTCTCGTCTTATTTATCGAATTCGCGTTCTACGTCGTTCACGGGCCTAACGTTCTTACAAAAAAGTATTATTAGCGGATCTCTGTGTTTGTCAAAAACGGACCGAATTTGATACGCTTTGAACGTTCCACGCGTACATATTTCGTTATACGATATTCCTTATTTCGTTCCGATACACGTATTGTATTGTATTGTATTGTATTTTACTCTACTGTATTACAAATTATTATTATTATTATTATTAATTATTATATTAGTCGTAGAGTATTGCGTTGTCGCGTTTGAATTTGCTTCCTTCACCGCGACAGTACATGATCAACGTGTCGTCGTCACTTGGATCAACTTTATTTCGAGACGACCAGTATTATAAAACAACGTAGATTCTTTATTTTAGATAGAGTTATTAACGAACATGTACCACATCTTGGGAAACATGCTTGCTCTCTACCGGTAAACAGTTAACGATCCTTCGTATCAGATCGTATAGATTTAACGCGAAACCTTAGTTAATACAATAGGTTCAAGGATTTCTTTTATTTTTCCAGTCGGATTATAGGTTTCGAGAAGAGAAAAATGAGAGAATAGCACCGTTTCTCGAGAAACTAGTTACTATTCACGAACACAACTTCAATAACGAAGTCACGGATCAGTGTTGCATTAGAGACGCACTATGTAGCGTGTAGTGCGAGCACTTGCTTGCGCACCTTGCACAGTTTCCCGTCGCTAACTCGTACCAAATACTTTTCCGCGTTCGTATCGATGCGCACGTCACTCTCGCGCTTGCTAAACTGTAGAAAACTATTGGCGTGTCCGCTAGATTTCCTTTGTATTATATTGTAAAGTATTCAGAGCATAATAAAAGTATAAAATACGAATCTAAGAAATTATTTTCGTTCACGAATTCCGGATAATCGTTACATATTATCGATTTACTATTATTTTCTTCTTCGATAATATCGTTCCTTCTATTCTGATCCTTCTTTCTTACTTACCATTTTTAAAAGATAACGGAAGAGATAAAACGTAAGAAACTCCAGGAATTACGTGTGCGTTTCTACTTATTTCAGGCAAAATTAGTACTCGTTCGACGATCGTTGTCTCGTGAAGAGTTAAATCATCGCTTGTCTTATTACGTGCTGGCATGTCGCTTTTGGTTTGCTTCGTTGCGTCGCATGACGCATCGATCTGTCGTACCACACCGTAGCATATCTCAGTCCTTAATGTAATTTTCAGATCAACAACATAGTACGAGTTTGTTTTACCGATAATACGACGCGTCAAGTGTATTCGTTTCTCGCTAATGTGACATTACCTCAATTTTCTTTTCATTCGATCCAAGTCATTGGAAGATAAGTGTCTCATATAAGTTTCTTAGATCATAAGTTTTACATGGCGTTACACGAGGAAAGAAAGGAGAAAATTACGCTGAATAACCAACGTGTGAATATTATACGCTTTAATTCGATGTAAAAGCTACTTACGTTTCGTATGTGTCTGTTATAGCCGTGCCGATTCTACTTACAACGCTCTTCGTCTTCGTATTTTTTTTTTTTTTTTTTTTTTGTCGTTATTCACATGATCGAAGTGAAATTCGTTTCCTGATAATTCGCCTGGGGGCGAACGTCGCGTCAAAGAGGCTCGTTGCCATCTTCCGTCGTGACTTTGTTCTTTCTGAAAAATCATGGCGATTCCCACGTAAATCGAAGATCGGATATCGGCCAACGAACGGCGAACCGGCAGTCCGGTTTTTAGAGATGAAACTGTTGGCGGTGCTTGGCGCGCTCGTGATACAGTGCGCCGCGACAAAATCATGGAACAGCGACAGTAAGTTTTTTTTTTTTTTTTTTTTTTTTTTTGTCGTTATTCACATGATCGAAGTGAAATTCGTTTCCTGATAATTCGCCTGGGGGCGAACGTCGCGTCAAAGAGGCTCGTTGCCATCTTCCGTCGTGACTTTGTTCTTTCTGAAAAATCATGGCGATTCCCACGTAAATCGAAGATCGGATATCGGCCAACGAACGGCGAACCGGCAGTCCGGTTTTTAGAGATGAAACTGTTGGCGGTGCTTGGCGCGCTCGTGATACAGTGCGCCGCGACAAAATCATGGAACAGCGACAGTAAGTGAAAGCGTTTGGTTCGATGATCGAAGTCACTTTCTTCTTTGCCCGTCAGATTATTCAGAGGAGACGTTCTTCGTGTTTGCCTGGATCGGTTACCTGAAACGTTTCTCTCTGATTGTGCTGATGCTGTCTGGTGTAGTTCTCTACTATATCCCGGAATCGCGACCGCGTAAGTAAGAAAACAAGTTTAAAGTGAAACGGAAGCTGGATGAAAGATTTATCTCCAGAAGCTCGACGATAATTTTATCTATTCCGATAAATCACTGTCACGCAGAATTCTAACGTGAAATCAGATGTCTATTTGTAAAGAGCGGTGGTCTTCGTTCAACGAATTACACTCGAGATAGACCAGAATCGTATTTAACGAATACGACAAAAAAAAAAAAAAAAACGCTATGCAAGAAATTATACAAAATATTACAGTTAACGAATTACTCGCGTCAAGACTATATTTTTTAGCAATAGAAAGATAACTCACATCTTTCGATTGACAGGATCGTGTACATATTTTTAGTCGTATGCGTTATACTGGATTTGAGAGTAAATTCAGCGATACGTATGTGTGTAGATATAGTAATGCCAGAAGTGTTTTAGTATTTAAAGCCTACATATACGTAAACATTTACTCTGAAGTTTAAACGACTTCTTAGTAGATTTAAAAATTGTCAAAATATTTATATTTCAGACGCGCGCCGAATCTGCTACGCGTTGATCGATCTCACAGCGAATGGTTTGAAATCCGCTCTGAGTGCCCGGGAGAGTGAGTTCTTGTACGAGAAAATGAAATCCAAGTGCCATCGCGGCCGATACGAGCCATCGTCGGTCATAGAAAAGTATCTTTCGCAAGAAATTCAAGGTGACGACGAGACTTTCGAACGACTCCAAAGAAATTACGCCAAGAAGTCGAAAATCTTCTTCGACGCGGACGATGTATTAGGGTTAGTATATACAGGGTGGTTGGTAACTCTTGGTGCAAGCGAAAAGAGGGTGAAAAAATTATTTCTTTTTATTTTAATTTTTCCATCGAGACAACGATCTACAGTGAAAACAAAGCGTCAAACGAAAAATGTTTATTCTATATCTTCGACTTCTTTTTTCTCGTAGAATCGCCCCCTTTCCGCTTGTACCACTAGTTACCAACCACCCTGTATATAGAATTATTTTCCATCGTTTTACAAAACGAAAGAAAGTAATTACAAAGATACATTTCGCCAGAAAATAAATTCCTAACGATATGTTTATTCTAAATATGTTACTAAATACGTTATAGAGGCAAAGATAAGAAAAAAGGAAGCAAACTGTATAAAGACAATCGACTATCGCGTCAACGTCTTCGTAACGTGATTAAACACGAACCATCTATGGAAATCGCTAAACCTGTCTATTTTTACTCCGACAAGATGAACGATGGCCAAAAATACCTGAAAACGAACGTGTCTGGTTCGAAACACTCTAACGAGTCAACAATGGAGAACTACGCGCTTTTAATCAGGCAGGAGATACAATAAATCAGATCGAGCTTAACGATATAACGTTTGTCAAGTTATTTTATTTAATAATAAATTTATTCGTCACAGCGGCAGTCCACAGCAACTGGCAATTTTCGATGAAAAATACGAAAAGGATGACATGGTGATCGTTGAAGATCCTTACGTGAGAGTGGATTACAGGGAATGTGGTACATCCACCGATAAACTATCGTCGAAAGCTGAAGCTTCGAGTTCGGAACAAGAGGGACCTACCAGAGATCATAACGAGCAGGTAATAGACTTGGTAATACGAAACACTTAGAAATTTCGCGTTTCTACGGAAGACGTAACAGATCGATTGACAAATTTTCATAAATATAGGAAATAGAAACGTACGTGAAAGAAGTTGAATTTAATTCGACGTCGGAAGGCAATGGTTCACGGTACTCTGTTGATAAATCGTTGTATCGAACAAGCCAATATCAGTGCGGCGGTGAGTGTTGCGGGAGCAACGGGTGCTCCATATCGTCAGCAAACTTGAGTAACAGAGCAAACGTTACATCCAACTCGTCGGTTGATGCAAAGAATGCTTTAAAGTAAATGACACACCGTACAACGTGACAAATGTTAATGGGAATATCGTAATTCCATAAAGCGTCGTTTAAGATCGTCTCGAAGCATGGTGACTCCGAAACTGCAGAAAAAGATCGAAGACAGCACGGAACACTTGTATACGGTCGATTATACGAACTATAATTACGTAGGCGAACGTCCTATGAAGCAAATCAATTCGAATAATAATCGCAAAGTAGATTTTCGCAGAGAACACGTAAATGGCTACGAAGTAGGTATACGAGTAATCGATTGTTTCTATAATAAATAAACTACCCTATCTATAATAAATATTGGCAGTGTTTTGAGAACATTTTCTATTTTACTATTAGTAACTTTGTATTTTGTTTGCGTTTGTCAGAAACACGAAGGAAATGGACGCTCGCATGAAAATATAGCAAACACTCGAAGAAAAAAGCCTAGAAACGAATCGACACAGTTCCGTTCTAACGACGGTTTTTATCTCACCGATCGAGGAGGGGAAGCGGACGATGAAAATTCTCAACATGGAGAACGAGTGACTAGGAAGCACGATCTCGATGAGAAACCTCAAAGAGAAAATCCCTTGTGCGAAAAATGTTCGAACGACTCCGAAGTCTTCGATTACTACAATGACATTTACATGGAACCAAACTTAAATAGTAGGTTCAAGTACTTTTCTCTTGAGTTGTTACGACTGAGAAATATAAGTTACTTGACCTTTATGTTGCGAAATTGCCGTATAGATTTCTATTTCTACTTTCGAGATACGTGTATCAATTTCAGAACAGAAAAGAATTTTCCAATTCCTTTTTATCGTATTGCTCTTTTGCACTTTTTATATGACTAGCCAATATCGTCAATTTTCCTAGTGAAAGAGAATAAATTTTGAGAGAACGTGAATTAAAATCGAATTCTACGATAAATCACATTTATATCAGCGTCTGAACATGATCGAATATCGCGGCATAAAAGCTACGAATGGAAAAAGGGATAGTAAGAATAGACGATATAAAGGTATTCCGCGATGAATAAATTCGATGAACCAAATTATTTTAATGATTCAGATCAATTTAAGCCAGCTCTGCTACGAGCAGTAAACTGGATCTTCGGCGGTTGTCCGGAAGCTACGAGAAGAACGGCTTTGGAGCGTGACAAGGTCGGAAAGGAAGAGAGCCAAGGGTTAACCGACGAGTGGCTCCTCTAGCCAAGGACGTTAAACCTGTCGTCGTGTGAAACTCAGACCGTCGGCAAAACCGATACTCTGCCGCATCGAATAATCGCAATCTCGTTAATAAGCACATCGCGATCGCTCGATTTACGAACGATCGTAGAAATATCGTTTCTTCGTCGTGAAACCGCAATAAATTCGAAATATCGTTTCTTCGTTTATTTGTCTTATCTCGAACAGACGCGAAGTGCATAGCGTATGCTCGAAATAATAACCAAAGGATCGTTCTGTTCCACGAACTCGTCGATTTACAAACAGATTTTCGTTCGATTCCCACGACGCATCCGGAAGTGGTCGGTCGTGAAAATATCTCGTCGACTCATTTTACGAGACTGACCGTGGCACGTTCGTTAAGTCAATATTTATCACGATGCAGCGCCAATTGGTAAGCGAATCGTCGAACGTACAGAAAGCGGGCGAGTTTTTGAAACGCAAAACTTGCCGTTGGTGCGCGCTCTGGCTGCTGCCGGAAGTGGATATCGGTGCGTATATACGTGGCTTAAGAGCAATAAAGGAGGCCCGGACTCACGAGTCGCTAAAAGAGAATGGGGAGAGACAGTCGCGCGGAGACCAAGAAGCGCGTCGGATCACGCAACGGAACCGCGAAATTGTCAGGAAGCACGTGACTCGCTCGATATATGTACGTACAACGATACATTCGATCGAACGTTCCGTTTTTCTTGTCGTTTCGAGAACGCGTGGATTTTCCAATATCGATCCCTTCCGCCCTGTTTCGCGCGATTAACCGTACCTCTACTCCCTTCGCAACATCGTCTACGAAAAGGAAACTTCCAACGACTCGGATAGTAGGGACGAAAGTATCGTCGTGAGTTCACGTGCACGCTCGGCTCCTTTTTCCCTTCCGTTTAATACAAGAGCTCCAAGAGGGTCCGCGATGTCTGCCTGTCGTACGAGTTGATAGAAAGTGCGGCGAGGAATGCTGAAGGAACGGTACATCGGTGTGTTCTAGGCGACTGGTAAGTAAGTATGCGATGAAATAAAAATAACGCGGAGTTTTTAATAGTACGAGATATTGAAAGACGCGTGCAATACGATCGACCGATATCTTCATTTTTCATATGAAAATTATCTCCCTCTGCGTAATTCAAAAAAGAAGAAAAAAGAAAAACGAAGAAAAGAACGATCGAGGAGCTCGGAGCTAAAATTGGTAAAATTTGATGAAATTTCTAACTCGAAGGAACCGTGTATAATATTAAACTTTAATACGAGAAGCTCCGTATATTTCCAAATATCGAAAAATCTCACTGCTATTATGAAAGAACGTTATTACCATTTTTCTTTCCAACAAGTACGCGTCTTATTTATATCGTAGTTTCCCGTATTCGTTTCATCTTTGGAAAGACGTATCCCGATTACTTGTCCACTGAGCTCGTCAATTATAAAAGGAAACATACGATAATTTATAAATATATACAGAAGTAAGAAATCTAAATATAAATTGTCTTAATCTTAATGTATGATAAATCGTTTATCAGGCGTTCAGGCGCACGATACGTGACCAAAACACGGTCATGTCTAAGCCAGCGAACTGGTTGATCCGTAACGAGACTTACGTGCCGCGGTGGTACATTGTTAGACGCCGGAGTAAATTCCTTGAATTCCACGGGACATGTGCGAACTGTTCTATTAATGTACCCATCGTCTCTTCCCTTCTCTTTCCAGACGACGACGTCCGTACACGCACCTCGATTCCCGCTCTTTCCATCGCGTTCGTTTCTCCTTTCTTCCATCGCACCCCTCTTCCTCTTCTTTCACCCGTAGTCGACGGAACAGGAGAGCACGGCGTATTTAAACTTTCGTTCGAAGGGGAACACGAGGCGAATGCCTCGGCCGATCGTCGCAGATGGTGCCGTTTTGATTTCGATGAAAGAGACACGGGACACCCGGTAAATGGAACCGCGTGTACTATATCCGAGAACGTCCACCGGAGTCTTAAGATCGGAATGTACAAATTAGTGATGGGTAAACGAGAGTAAACAGTAATTTCGTCCCAGAAACATCGAAACTATCCTCCAATTTCTTCTCCGTATCTATCTTCGCGATTAAATTTGTTTATTCGTTGACAGCGGACTGGTATTATTAACCGTTCGTAAGCGAATTTACGAACTTGGACTGCGTGTTTTCCTTGGCAGACGGAATCCTCGTATACGGACTCACCTGTGCCGGTATTCGAATGTCTTATACGAAATTCAAAGGTGTTATCGACATGGAAACCAGCCAAGGAAAGATGTAATCGCGACAAATTTTTGCTTGGTCGCTGGCCACGCACACGCGATCTCGCGTCACGGAAACGCGCCCTGTCTGTTCCGCTCGTCCGCGACGCTTCTTCTGTCTTGCAATCACGCGCTACATGGTTTTGTTACACTTTGTGCAGTGACAAATGCGCGGAGTATGACGTCAAATGCGATTAGAGGTATTCGGAGGAAGAAGAGTTCGCTATGCGAGGTAAAGGTGGCCGTGATTGGAGCGCCTGGAGTTGGAAAAAGCGGTGGGTACAACCTTTATCACTAAACTGCGGATATTCGTACAGATTCATATTTTTATAAACGCGATCAAAGGAACGAAATTTTTGCAGAAATTTGTTTCAACTACTGGAAATTATAATAAAAGCGATACTCTGAATATCTCACATATTTTTGCGTATTACGCGCATTCTAGCAATCTCAAATTTCTCACGAATGCATAAAAATGCATAGTTTACTTGTTGTTTTACATTCATACTACATTCAGAAATATTCGCGCCGAGATCCGGCATTGTGTTCTGCTTGAGATCGAGAAATGGTCTACAACAATCGACGTTATTTATACTAATAGTTGTTCTGATACATTTGAATACGTTTTGCTATACCAGATGCCAAGTTTCGCTGGGATAGTTATGTAAAATCCGCTTTTACTTTTAGCACTGTTACTTCGTTTTCATCGGCTGGCGTGTTAGAATTCGACCGCTTTCCTCGCATTTTCACTCGACTCGCTTTCAACGCGGGCACGCTAACACACGCGGTAGCGCTTAATTTTACTATAATGGTAACGGGCGTGACATTAACCGTAATCCTTTGCATACAGCACCATGCAGGAGCGCAATTAGAAAGTGTTACATTAAATAGATCGTAAGGATATCCCAAGGAAGGAGCTGTTTCTCCACGTTTTCCTGCGATGCATTTATACTATTGTTACGTTGATTGTCTTCCCTTGACTTTTTGCCTTGCAATACCGAATCACACTTATGGCATGAATTATCGATTAAATTCGACGAAAGCGAGATTTACCATCGTATCGAAGATCAATTTCAACTCTGATGCTACTTCGAATTACAAGATTGTAAATTACTAGATACGGACGTTCAGCACTGAATGTCTTTTAGACTTTGAGAAAAATTTGTTTTTGTCAATTATTAATGTAGATTAACGTAGAGAATAATATAACAATGGAGACATATTTTCTGATATTTTTGTAAATGTTATGCAACGCACTAAAACACGAAGCCAATTTATTTCTTAATTAATTAATAATTTGTAACGTTAAGTACGAGTGGGTTAAAACAGAGAATAATCAACTAATGTGGAAACGTATTGATTTGCCTGTTTTATACTTGTTAATAGAAATAGATCTTTCTTCGCGAGATAAAGTAATTATCCGCTAGGAATTAAATTATTTTCATTAATATTCGTATAAAAACGACCGCTGAAAAGTATCTCAAGTACGATTGATTTAAGTACAAGTGCATGCGTCGCATATATCCACGCGTTAGGTGTGTTTGTGTGCGTATGATAAACGTGGTTGGGACCCTGAAAGGAGCCAACCGCGTGTATTTTTGGTAATGGCACGTGTAAAGCATAGGTGAGTACATAATTGGTTGGGCCCCAGCAACTGTACATTTCAAACTGACCGCAAACCACACTCGCGTTCTATTTATAAAGTTTTATTTCAAAATTTCCTTGAATCGCGTTTTATAAACGATTAAACCGCCCTGTCAATTCCTCGCGAATAAACGAGAGACCAATGGTTTGTATATCTCGAAACAACGATGTATGCTGTTTTCCCATACGATGTATACTTTCCATCGCATATACGTATTTTTAACTCGGCAAATAATTGCTCGGTTCGTTGAAAGACAGGGAACAAAGGCGATTCGTATAACGGAGTTGATCCGTGCAGAAAATTGGCACGAATAACCGGCGAACTTTTAATGATCCACACGAGGGAAAGCGCCGAAACGATGTTGGTCTAAGGACTCGAACGTAAATACACGGATTAGCAATAAATTTGTTTTTCACGAAATGTTCAGGTGGTTCTGTCAATCATGAAATAAAGCACACCGCAGAATCTTGGGTGAACGTTCAGGAACGTCAGTCTGCGGTCAGTTTTGCCATTTTAGCTACCTTTAAAACTCGAGTATTCTGTATGAAAAAATCAACGTTTCGGTTTTCACACTTTTCACGAATCAATGTTTCATCTCTGTAAATAAAAATTCCTCGCAACGCTATCAAAAATTGATAAATCCATTCGATTGCTGGCTAGCCGACTCCAATTCGACCGCATTGTCTCAAGTTTGCTCGAAGGAAACTTGTTCGCGGCGCTTATAAAACAGGTCACTTTTCATTGAACTTAAGACGAAACACACCATGGTGACGTTTAACGCGTGTACAAGGTTTTGTGGCGCCGTGGCAGGTTCGAGTTCGAGGTAAAAATAGTGTGGTGTGCCTCGAAGCGGGTCACTAGGCTGTAGCTCTCGTTTCTCTCGATTGAATCACGATATGTCGGAACGCGTGCATCGTATCGAGCAAGATCGCGTACGTTCTCACAATATCAGGTGGAAAATGATTTCGACTGATCCAAAATGGAGGAAAGTCTGCAAATTCGGTTGTCTGCATTTCCTATAAATCAAATATAAAATCAATAACAGAATATGGCGTACTACATTCTTCTTTTGTAAACAAAAAACAATTACTTTACATTTAGAACAATTTTTATACGTCAGACAACAGAGGAATCGACGTAAATAGGACGCACGATGAAAGAAAGCATAGGTTGACAACTTTCTAACAAGCGTGTGCATGGAATTTGTATTGATGACATTTGTATTGATTTGTATTAATGGCGATCTAATAAGTGTCACGCTCGTGGATAAGCACGATAATAAAGAAAAGTTATACAGATACTAATAGAAACAGAATCGAACGCGACTACTACTGTGTGTTTTAACAAATAATTACACAGAGTGAATCACGAACATTTCTAGATTACGTAGAACAATAACGTTTCAACAACGTTTCAACAACGTGTATTGTTCTTAAATTCCAGCATTGACAGTGCGGTTTCTAACAAGGAGATACATCGGGGAATATGATCACCAGTCGGGTAAGGAACATCTCGATTTACGAACTCGTGGCCAATAAGATGCGGTTACTCGATGCGGTATAAATTACGATGAAATGTGAATAGAGTGGACAATAGACCGATGAATTTTTTTGAAAAATTGCCAACAACCGGCGTGGCACCTCAGGGACCGCCTATACTCTCCCTGCGCGTATCTCGGTCCGCGTCTGATCTAAATTTATCGAAAACGAATTTGACACTAGACAGGACTGGTACTAATGCGAGGTTGATACTCGAACAAAACTTGTTTTTTTGTACAAATACAGACACGCGGACAGGATGAGCAAGCAGCTTCTCTGCGAGCACGTGTTCCCACCGAGATCTAAAACTAGACTGGGCTGGAAAGATCTACTTAACGATCGCGATAGATACCTGATCTTTCTGTTGCAACGCGTTCTCGTGGAGAAAATTTATTACACAATTTTTCCGTTGCCGCATCGAGGATGCTGATCGTTTCGAATCGTTTAACATTTATCGACACAAGTTACGATTCGCATTAAAAGAATCTTCCGATCGTTTTTTTCATTCTTGTCTTTTCTTCTTTTTTTTCAGAAAACAGATATAAACACGAAGTGTTGGTCGACGGTGAACCGATCCTTTTCGAAATTTTGGACACCTGCCCGAAGGTAACGTATTTATCGATGATCGTAATGATCTATGTACATTTGCCGAGACGATTTCATTCATGGTCGAAAGCAAATCAAATTCTTTCATGCTTTTCTTGCGTCCTGTTACAGAGCGAAGATGAATTACCTTCCACGGAAACTGTACAGTGGGCGGATGGATTACTTTTAGTCTATTCGATAACCGACAGGGGTTCTTTCAATTTCGTGAGAAAGGCGAAGGAAACGCTGGCGGTGGTTGATCCCGAAGCCACGATGCCCCTCGCTTTGGTCGGAAACAAAGCCGACATGGTTCATTTGCGGCAAGTTAGCACCGAAGAGGGAGAAATACTTGCGAAAGATTTTGAATGTTGGTTCAGTGAAGTGTCTGCCGCGGAACAGGTATGCTTCTAATCTTATTATTAGTTAGAAACAAAGTTTCGTACATAAATTTTATTACCGAAGTGTAATATGGTTTCTTAGGTCACACAAGTTGCTGAATCTTTCCATGAACTGTGTCGAGAAGTTCTGGCAGCTAGAAGAAGGAATAAGCAATCTTTACTGGATAGAATGCTTGGTAGCAAAGCGACGCGTGCTTATTCACGAGGTAAAAGTGACTCGGCGCTTCCAAAAGATTAATACACGTGTAAAACCAGTTCATATCTACACACACACATATATATATATATATTTATATATTATATATATATATAATATATATAATAATATATATAAGTATATATATATATATATTTATATATATATCGTTTTATAAAATTTATATATATGTAAATTTTATAAAAGAAATGTTTAAAAAAAATTTATAATACAATCTTACGAATCAAAACTGAATGATACATAGCTTATCTATATATGTGTACTTGTTATTGAAAGTTTAATTACCAAAGATTTATGTAACATCGTGTAATGTTTTTTGACTTATATATATTATGTAAATCATATACAATACGTAAAGTTTAGAAGTTTCATATTATAATTTTGTCAACATGTAATGTAAGCAGTTTTTTAATATACTCCCGTGTTTTTTAATGGAAGAATTTATAGTTTTAATATCAATTAATGTATGTAAAAATTTGACGCAAGATATAAATATTTGAATCAAAATTTCACGTCCTATCTTGCTATAACATACATATGAAAATTGTATCTGTTCACTTTGTGAGGCTGATTACAAATGTAACCTACATGAGAATAGATTAGATAGATATGGAAACATGTAATATATATATAATTGATCTATATTTATTTTGTACTTACAATGAAATTATGACAATAAATATTTCTTATTTATTATATCACTGTGATATGTAACGCTAACATGTTAACTCCAAAATAGACAATTTCTCTTACATAATGATCGTAAAAAGTTATGATAATAAAACATTCTTATCTCTCTTTTAACACTTAGGTCATAGATTTAGTCTCTTTACAAAGTTTCAGGATCATTTCGTATTTATTTCGTATCATCGTACGTTTCTAAAACATCTGCTAAATGTTCGTTGTCTCTTGGTTTTTTGAACTGTTTTCTCTTACTAACAGGTTTCTTTCGTTTAATCGGGGCTGGTTTTTTGGGGCCATGATCCTGCATAGATCGTATTCCTTGTTTCTCTAAGTATTCATCGATTTTTTGATCATCCATTGCATCGACTGCAACAGCCCTCCACAACTTTTGAAATTCATCGTCTATTGGAAACTGTGCTGTTTTATCATTATAAAATACAATCTTTTTCTTGTCCAAGGGTCTTGTTATAAATAATATCTCATTTTGTAAACTCTAAAATTATTAAGTTCCTATTAAAATTGCTGACAAAACTGTATACTGTATATACTGTATACTGTACTATATACTGTAATCAATTATATCGGTATCATCATGCTTCTACATACCTTTAAATGCTTATCACAGTGTGGCAGACTTTCTTGTATATCTTCTAATAGTATTCCGCCAAGACCTTTTAAATCTTGTTGTTTTAATAATCTCAATAAAGATTTTTTATCTTTAATTTTATACATAGCTTTGAATACAAATCTACCATCCGAAGTTACTTCTATCTTTGGGTTTTTAATGAGAGCTTCTGTTTGAAGCCATTGTTTTACCTAATGCAAGAATAGCATTGTATCTTTATATTTTCACAAATTGTTTAACACGTTGACTGCCACGACACGCGTATTCGAGTGTCAGCAAAGATTCTGGTAGGGCCACGTAACCCATATTCGGGTGTCTATTATTTGACTACTTACGAAAGATCGTCATAGGTATTTGAAAAGATATTCCAGAGAACAAAGCTATTGAATTGTTATAGAATACGAAAATGGTTTATTAAAAAAATTATTTAGAATGTAAAACTTTAAAGCGTTCTATACATAGCTGAAGTTGATTGGGACAATTTGGACAATAAGTTGTTGTTTTCTTAAAATTCTTTTGTGTCTTTGTTCCATTCAACATCTTTTATTATGCTGACTCCGTCAAAGAGAAGGATTTTTTGTATTTTCAGACAACCATAATAATTTTGTACCTAATAATTCTCTAAATATTCTAATATTTATATTCTTCCTTGTTGCAATTTTGTAAACCGTCAAAGCGTTTACAACAGAAATTCCCAGAAGGAGTTGAACGCCAAGTTTTCTGTACCATTTGATTCCTTTTCTAATTGTGGTGACATAAGAAACCATTTGGTTAGAATAATCTATACCATACTTTCCTTCATTATATTCAACAACAGCTAGAGAGATCATTCTTGAGACCACCATTTGAGAGACCTGCATTACTAAAATATCGATGGGAGTACCTAGCAGAGAACGCTTAGTACTGCGGCACGCGTGGCTTTACGGAGATTTCATTGAAAACACGAGTGGCAGTCAACGTGTTAATGCATTATTAAACTTACCTTGGATCCAACATCTAATTGATTTGTTTCATCCAAGATTTCTTCTAACGTTAAAGGGTGATCATCTCCTTCTTGATGCCTAGCTTTCATATGCTTTACTATTTTGGCTAACACACCAAATTTATATTGCGTACTGCCAGACATGGTTTTGTAGTTAACCATGTCTAGTTTGGGTCCGCTAGACACGGAGGATAGTTTTGGCTTTTTTTTGAATGGCTCATCTCGTGTGGTATCTTTCTCCTGTTCCTTCTTTCTTTTCTCCACCCTATAAGAACAAAATTTATTGCCTACAATATTGAACCAAACAAACAAACAATATTCTATCAAATGGTGTATAAGTTATGTTTGAAATTTGTATCTATCTTTTTAATATCTTTTATCGTAATTTGTAATATCTTGCAATCTGCTTCGAATAATTCGTACATTTAAATTATTGCGTGAGCTTTACGACAAAATTTACGCAAATTCAATATTTGCTTTAAACATAACATATACTTTCTACAAAAGTTGAGGTTGGAAAAGAAAATTCACAGATAATACTCACGATGGTGTTGTAAGAGCTCTTTTCTTAAAGAGCTCTCGCTCTCTAAGCAATGCTGGATCCATTGTATTATAAAATTTCAATTGCACAAATGTCAAAATCTCAAATCTCCACTTTCCTTATGAACTATCACTTCCGTCACATTCTAAACGCATAATGAGTCATCTAACCATCTCATCATTCGTTCCATGTCCATAGCATGAAATGAAACTATACTGCACATGCGCGTATTTGCTTTCGATAAATCGCTCCATAATTTCGATTACTCGATAATTTCGTTTCAATAGTTCAAATATCGAAATATGGCCGCACGAATAAAATAAAATGTCACGGTGAAATGTGCGTGCAATCTGAAAAGTGAACAAAATAAACGAATATATTGGGGGGTCACTTGAAAGGTTTGTTCCAATTTACATTTCGATTCGATATACATTTACTGAACTATATATTAGGTGCCATATTGTCCCACAACTTTTCTCCATCTTTCACGCATCTTGAATATTCAATCCTTCCAGAACCTCTCAGGTTTTTCGGTAAAATACTTTTCAGTATGATCTTTCGTGTTGACGAAATTCCTTAAAAATTGGAACGAATTTTCCAGACAACCCAATATATATATAAATTGTGTGAATACAGTGAATTTAAGTAGACTTATCAGATCGCGGGGTTCCGAATTATTCAGTTTCGATAATAATTTCGATGAATATGATACGTATCCTTGTTCTTCTACTGTCTTCTTGAATTTTACTCACGCTATTTTTGTCTTTATCGAGACCTAACTGAACCGTCTACAATTCGTATATCAAATTCGACATCGATCGTCATAGTGAATTATGTTTTTACGATTTTTTTGCAAGTATGAACGTTTTACGTGCTATAAAGTGGACATAATTCGCCAAAGTATTTCCACGCTCTTTGACGCCTGCGACGTTTTGCGAGCGACACAGCCGGCTTCCTTCATTTCGCACTTTACGAACGTCGTGTCAAAAGGGCAAAGTAACCGCTGCTTTAAGAGCAGTTCCTTCCACGAGCTTAAAAAGAGCCGACAGAAAGAACATATTGTTCTCATTGCGAAAGGTACTAACTTTTATATGAAGCGAAAATCGACGTTTTCCTTTGTCACGTAACACCGTGTTATTTTTACGCTTGATATTTGAATCTTATAAAATATATCCTGTATAAAATCTTTCATAATATATTCTATATAAAATGCTCGATGCTCTTGTAGAGTAGCTATAATATATATATATTTATATATTTATTCAGATTTCATTCTGTTAGATGCGTCAGAAATTTCCCGCCAATTTTATAACCGCCATGTTTATATAAACGGGAGTAAAATTATCGGCAACGTCGAACAGCCAGCACTTATTTTTTTTTTTTTTTTTTGTAAAAGCGTAATTTGCATTCGTACAAAGACAGTAACTATCCCAAAAGCTATCGCAATCTAGTGCAGCGTAAACATTTCGCGGGCGTGGTGCAAGAAATCACAGTTAGTCTGTGGCGTGGCTGGATCGTAGCAATTGCGCGCAAACATCGTGATCGTGAACAGCGGTCGAGAGGAGGGGGAGGGCTGGTAGGAGTGGTAGCAAAACAATTCGTTCGGTAACATAAACATCATTCCGAGCAGATTCGTAGCGTGTCACGATGTTAACAGCCAGCACTTTTTTTTTTTTTTTTTTTTGTAAAAGCGTAATTTGCATTCGTACAAAGACAGTAACTATCCCAAAAGCTATCGCAATCTAGTGCAGCGTAAACATTTCGCGGGCGTGGTGCAAGAAATCACAGTTAGTCTGTGGCGTGGCTGGATCGTAGCAATTGCGCGCAAACATCGTGATCGTGAACAGCGGTCGAGAGGAGGGGGAGGGCTGGTAGGAGTGGTAGCAAAACAATTCGTTCGGTAACATAAACATCATTCCGAGCAGATTCGTAGCGTGTCACGATGTTTACATTCGATAACCCGTTCCATAACTTGTTATCACTTTCGCAGGAACGTTTGCCGTATTCCGTGTGTGTCCGCACGTTCCATCTTTTTTATTCGGTTCGTACGTACCGACAGAGCAACGTTGGCTCCTGCGCATCGGTATTCGTGATAGAAAGTAACAGGAAATGCCGTACGTAGGGAACGCGCGCGGTGCGCTAGGGTCGTAACATGCGCGTTAAGCGTGCGCTCCCGGTTCTCGCAGACGAATGATAGAGAAGGAGGGAAAAAGTAGTTACGGGAGTGAGAGGGTGAAAAGAGGGCGCGAGGTAGAGAGGGTGTAGAAAGGGGTTGGTTGGTGGAGATGGCACTGAGACCGGGATCTGTAGCAGGAGGAGAGCAGCAGAGGCCAGAGGAGGGAAGAAAGAGAGAGAAGACGAGGAGCGAAGGGTAGGGAAGAGAAGGGCGGTAGGGCTGGTTAAATGACGACTGGTCGTAGGCGCGGGGTGACGCGGGGGGGACACGAGAGCGTGGAAGAGAGGGATGCTGGGGCGGTTCAAGCGAGATCGAGTTCACGCCAAGTGGAGTACGGCAGTTTGTGTCAGACCACGGAGCACGGAAGATGCTCCCGGTTGTTTACGGAACGGGTGGACCACCCTCGTCGCGGC